GGTCGTGGAGCTTGTTCTGTGCACCTCGATGTTGATTGGTTCTTATTGACCTTAAATTTGTCATTGTTTACTTCTTTGTTTTGTTTGTGTCTCCCATTGGTTTGATTTTTGTTCCTATATGTGTGCATGATTTTCCTGATTTGTTGGTAAATTGGATTGATTTCAATATGCTTGTTGATTGCTGATTGACCTGATTGCCAGGCTTCTAAAAATTCTCTGGTGTTTTTGGAGTTTCTTCTGTCTAAGATTTCCACATTTTTCCAATCGAATGAGTGTCCACAGTTGTCCACGTGCATTGATATAAGTGAGGAGATATCAAGGCGTTTGACTGCTAATTGATATTCGTGTAAGCGAAGGTGAAGTGGCGTCCGCTTTGTCCAATGTAGTGTTTGTCGCAGTTGGCACAATTTATTTTGTAGATGATGTTTAATTTGTTTTTCTTTGTTATTTCATCCTTTGGTTTGCATACGATTGATTGTAGTGATTTTTTCGAGGTGCACAAAACATGCTGTGAAACACATATGGAGAAATTCGAACATTTCACTTCTATCTGAAGTTTGTGTTGATTATGTCGTTCAGAAGAACGATGAAAGCTCCATGACTAAACCATCCAGCTCAGAGAACAAATAAAGAACAATAAAGAATACCTGCGATCAATAAATAATAAATTAAGAATTCTACAACCAGTCATCTAAGTACAATAATTTGTGTATAAAGTTTATTTCTAAACTCTTAAGCTAAAATTCGGTAAAATAGAAAAGAAATTTTGTCAATACTCTCGTATTCGGTGGTAACATACAATTTTCAACCGGGCAGTGACTCGAGAACGTTTAGATAGAGCCGAATTTTCACCACAGTCGAGCTGCTGTATAAGTCGAAAAATAAGTATACACAGAGTGGGAATAAAAGATGGTGAATAAATGACGTAGTAAATAATAATGATAATGATAATAATAATAATAATAATAATAATAATGTGAGTCATTTGATTGTTATTCAGAGCAAAACTACTTTCCATAAATAGACAGTTCACTTTTTCTGTGTGTAAGTTGTGATACTAACCGGGTTCCCAGACCGAAGCAGGTGGTTTCCTTAGATAGCCACACCCCGAGTTTTTGACCTAGATGTCTAACCCACAAGGCAGTGGAGCATCGTGAGGAGATGCAGTCCCATGGAAGCTGGTGACCAAGAAATTGGTTCATACGCCATTTTTTACTAAGGACACTGGAGCCCGTGTGCACCATTAGTTTGGGATCCGGTTAAAGCGCCGGACATTCGCTTTTCGTCCTCTCATTTTCGTAAACAACAGTAATGTCACGAGAAGGCAGTGAGTAGGACTTCCCTGTAAGAGGCTGTATACACGTGGCCGTGTGAGAGTGTTTCGAGAGGGAGAGCTGACTCCCCTCACTCTCGACCGTACCAGGGCATTTGGGGGCACTAAAGGGTAGATATGAATAGATATGAATATTCTGTAGATTCTGCAACAGGTATTTGGGAAATCGCCAATTAATAAAACCTAAACTCATTAGTATTCCTGAACTTAAAATTCTATATGCTGTGCAGGAACATCAAGCTTCGTGAAATAATATGAATTCATTTTATTTCACAGTTGTTGGTTCTCTCTTTAAACTTATGATGTAATCTTTTTGTATGAAAATCCTATGGTTATAGGACGGTAATATTTAATGTAATGTCAGAATGTTGAATTTATGTTAGTTTCTGTCCTGACTTGTCTGTAATCAACCCAGTTTAACTTGTGTTAACCTAGACTTAAGCTCGAAGCCAAATCAATTCCCTTAGACAACTTATATTGACATTTAAATTTAAGAATTTTTATGATCAGTATAAAATACTTTGATTATTGTAATCCTCTTTCTTCCAATTACTCAACATTATGTTGTAATCAATGTGACATATACTTATTGCGCAACAAAGCTACTCGATAAACATTACTCCGTTGTTGTAAATTATATATATACAAGTATTTGTATCGATTTTTTATCACAATTCGTGATAGGGTTGTAAATTATTATGTTCCAAGTATATATGGGGTGCACTACAAGATCATGAAGGTTCGGGTCATCGAAACAGAGAAAAGTTTTATGAAATTACAATCATATTCAATTATTTTTAATCCATTGAATCTAAATTTTGTTTGGGCACGTTGTGCCAATCAGCACTGTTACATGTCCACGTGATTTATTCTAACGTTCAAACACATTAGCTATTCTAATAAACACAGTTATTCTTTCACACATATATTTGACCATGTCAAATACTTAAGTGTAATACTGTTTGTAAAACAGTACGTATGAGTTTGTATACTTGCTGTCTCTCATTCTTAAAAAGATTGAATCACCTGTTATTTGCTAAGTTGGCTGTTTACGCCACATCATCTCATGTATTTCTCCTTGTCTTTGATTACTTCTATGGTTTATCAGATGTCAGAAATACATGTTTCTCAATCACTTACGTATTCGACCTTTGCAACGACGTTATTGTTAACGTGATTTGTCGATAGGGTGTGCCTAGAATTTATGAACAAACCAATCAAAACTAAGATTGGAAGTCATGTATTCTGACGCAGACTTTATTCATCCATTTGGTTGAATTGCATTTTGGCATTATAGTTGATGTCGGTTCATGATGGGAACCTTAACTCTAATACATAAACCTAACTTTGAATTCAAATTGCTAATTTTAATTCCTCAGATTAATTTACAGCCGTTTCTTAACCCTATTGCATAGGCGAATACCCTCAAGGTCACTAACATCGCTCATAAATTATCCATAAATGTTAGTGTCACCGTTATTCCTAACATTTGCCAAAAATAATCTATAAAATTACTGTTATGTATCTATAAATAAAAAACATGAGTACGTACTACTCATCTTAATTTCGTTGGAATGCAGAAGATTCACAAAAGTAATTCAAGTTTACTTCATCAAGTGAATTGATTGCGATTAAACATTAACACTTGGATGCTAGCTCAGTAATCTAGAGTTTAATCGTTCGCGTGAGACAAATGGTCTTGGATTCAAGTTTTATGTATGGGATCGTAGATGTGCACTGTTGAGGACTTATATACTACGATGAAATGACCATTCAGTGCTTCCAGGTTTTTAATGGTTGTCTAAATTTGATCGATTCATGATCTCAATGAAATTCAACAATCTCCACAACACTATATTGACAGTTTATGAAGTAAATTTATCAAATTTGCAATTAAAGCGAATGCTTTAAGGAATAGTTTATTCTGTACAGTTTTATTGATATGAGTGTATGTATCTTTTATAAGTGTTCAAAGAAATGTAATAATTAATGAGCAAACAAACATTTATTTAATTAAATTATATTGAAAACTTCGATCATATAAATCCCAGCATATCTTTTAACTCTATCTTTCAACTGGTTATGTTACTCTTCAAGTTTCTCTTATTCCATGTATTTATTCACTTTAACTAACCTTTAATCACTGTATTGTTAATTAACATGAATCAGTTAACTTTTATTGAACCAGCTTACATTAAACTTTATCAACATTTTAACAATTGAATTAATGAGTCAATCTAGGCTAGACTACTATTAAAAACCTGAAAGTACTGAACGTCCATTTCATTCTGAAGTGGAACCACTCAACAGTGCACATCCACGACCATGCACACGGGACTCGAACTCAGTATCATGTGTTTCACGCACGAACAATTAACCTCTAAACCACTGAGCAAGCATCCAACGGTGTTAATGTTTAACTCCAATCGATTCATGATCTTGTACACAACTTCATCCATTGTCTGAATTAGATGACTGCCTCACACTCGACACGGATTGGAATCCATTGATCATGGCCTACCGAGAATGCTCAACTACTAATCTACAAATCCCCATTTTGATTTATCAATATTTGTCAATAGCTCAAATAACATTTCATAATCTTCCACTGTATCTAATATTTCTTTAATTAAAACGAAATGGCCGTCCAGTGCTTCCAGGTTTCCCATGGTGGTCTAACTTCAATTGACTCATGATTTCAACTTATGAAATTTCTAAAAATCTCCACAAAACACATTCTGATAAAACATTATATTGAATCATTTATAACTTTACATTTAGAATTTTAGTCATCTTTACTATTTTATATCAATAAGTGATGTTATTGAAATTCCTAACATAGTTTGATCATTTGTACAATTGAATATTAACAATGACAAAATATGAACTTTTTTTTAAAAAAAGAAATAAAATATTATTATAATGGTTGAGATTTTGAGTCAATTGAAGCTAGACCACCATGAATAACTTGGAAACACTGGATGGGCGTTTCGTCCTATTGTAATTTTGAGAATTGAATAAAATATTAATAATCAAAAAAAGGAAAGAATCATTATGTCATTCTATTTCATTTCTGATGTATGGGTGAGAATGATAATGATCGGTTGTCCGCTTAGTCAGACATGCAGATAGTCTGATAGGTATCAGATGAGTTATGTATTCCCCTATTCTTATTATCATTACTCACTCACGTATTATTGTTTGTTCATTGTTGTTGGATTGTATCGGGTTTTTGGTGTGGAAATATATTTACGTTGTGGTCAGGCTAATCACATGTTCTTGATGTGAGTTGTTTTGAAGTCTTGTAAAATAGACACTGAGAGGGAATCTAGTGTAGATATTCGTCTAAGGTAAATTAACGTCCCATAAGTGTGTACAATGTTAAACCGAGCGTTATATAATTTCATTAACTATTCTTCTAATTGATATAATCATTATGGTGTTAACGGTAGTGTTTAGTTTATTGTTCATATTACAAGATTTACATGTAGATTTTTGTTTAAAATTTACAATGATCGTTTTAAATTGGTTATGATTATTCGAAAGTGAAGTAGGATTAATGAAGATAAGAAAATAGTAGTTAGGAAATTATTATAGATAAAACTATTCAATTCGATATAATTTAATTCATTGAAGAAAACTTTTCATTACCTCCAGATGAATCTACTTAACTGTGGAAAATTACTTCTTGATTACTATTTTTGTGACCATCTACTTTTTCACTTGAGCTGTTGTCTCGCTGTTGCGTATTCATCGTTTTTAATTTCCATTTTTCATCTCTCTCTTTTTGTGCTTGTAAATCGATGTAAAGATGAGTACCATTCGCTTGATAATTACCAGTTTGTTTATATTTACGTTGTTCAATTAAATTACCTTTAGTATCAAATTGATCATCAACGAGCTTTTTGGAATATTTTTTCTTTTTCCCATACGTTTTGAATTTTGATTTAATAGGTTTCGCATGACCATATTTATCCAAATTCTCTTCAATTAGAAATTGTGAGTATTCTGACGAGATCATACCATAACCTCTAACTCCACGTGATCGAAATTTCCCTTTTGCATCGATACCTTTAGCTTTCATGCGTTTATATTTATATTTGAAGCGTCCTGACCCAATAGCCGTCTCTAAACCATGCCCCATACTCTTCCTGCTATTCGATTTAGATTCGTCCTCACTATTGTCATTCTCAGTTAACGTACTTCTTTTTTCGTCATCCTTTTTAAAATTTCTTTCATCAACTTTCGAACTAACTGCCACTTCTTGTGAGGAAACTGTTGTCACAAATATCAAAAATATCCAGATCATTAATTTCATATTTATTTCCATGAAATAGAAGCCACTTTAGTCAATAATTTATGAATGAACAAATTCTTGTTAAAATAAAATATTTCATTATAATATGATCACTTATAAATAATTTTCCAAGTGCACTCAGTGCACTGTAACAAATTTAATGACTGAAAAAAAAATGAAACAGCTGACTTGTTGATGCCATTTTATGTTAAATACGAAAGTGACTATTTCAATTAGAACAAAATACACTTTTTTTATAATTGCAATATTCATCATTTTACTGATTATATTTTGATGGAGTTTTGTTCTTTGAGCTGGATGCTTTGGTTGTGGAGCTTTCATCGTTCATCTGAACAACATTATTAGCACAAATTTCTACCTGATTATACTTAGAAGACAGGGACATTTTAATTCCTACAATGTGAAATGAGCATAAAATAAGTTGAAGAAAATGAAGATTTATTAACTCGATAAAACATTTCATCAAAATAAATTATCCGAAACCACATAATCACTAAACTTAATACATTTTATCTTTATACTGAATTTGTACACACTTGATGATTAGTTAAGAGCATTATACAAATAAAAAGATACAAATAGTTACTGTGATTGAGAATAATACAAAGAGTATGACTATTATATTAAAAGAAATTTCATGGCTGACATATTGATCGAAATCCACACTTAATTAATTTAAATGTAGAGAATGAAAACTTCGTGGGAATAACCTATTTACTGTTTGATACAAAATTACAAAGTGCCTTCATAAGATATGAAAACCATACATTAAATACATTATTTACACATCTCCCATCAATTGTCCATTACATGTTTCATAATTCATCCAATTTTGTTGCCATTACAATGGCTCACTATTTGCCTTCTTGATCTATTCAATTCAGTCGTCTGCTGGCAGGCATTTTATTTCTGCTTGGTGCTAGATACTACCTATTCCTGTCAAAATAAGTAGCATACACAATACAAAGAGCATTGACCTGAAATAATGTTACATTGGTAAATCTGTAACCAATATTCTACTGATCTTGGTGTGGAAATACCATTAGGACAAAATGAATGAGATTCCGAAATCTTATGATAGTATGTGTTATTGGAGGCATTTGATTCAAAATCATTAAGCGAACATGTTACATCGGAAGCGTTCGTAACAGAAATATTATAAGAAATTCGGACAGATTCAGAGGAAGGTTTATGAGAATATAATAAACTATTTATGGCACCAGTCTTCTTGATTCAGTCTAAGCTTAATTGATCAAAATCTTGCTGATTCGTAAGATAACAAGCATCATCAAATTTATGTTCTTTGAACTGCACATTGTTGCACCTGTTAGCCTCACTACATCTCCTGAGGTATTTCAGGCAACATGTTTGGTTGGCTGCATGTGTAGACATCCTAGCTTACGCCACGTGCTTTTGCAAATCAATGTGATGTCGGAAGTCGTATCTAGCTGAAGATGAATAGGTTTTCCATTGATTAATAAGTTTACATACTTCCGATTAATTCGAAAGTCGCAAACATGCTCTTGATTTGACTCTGGGAATGTTGGTTCACATTTTCTCCATGACGTTTTGACAAGAGTTTATGTGATGGGCAGTGACTATCTTTATGACCAATACGATGACAATGACGGCAATTGTGCTGTAGTGAACAGAACACGGATGTGGACAATCGAATGTATTTAGCAAAAAATTACAGATTTACTTGGTAAAATAGAAAAGCCATATAACAAATCGTTAATTTACAAAATATTAATCCATCATATCAACCTGGACTGTTTCTGTTGCAAACGTCAATCCATTTTCTCACAGTCATTGTTCATGCGGTTTCTTACAACTTACATTGTGTTCTCGTTCTTCCTTTCTTGATCTTCCTCCATCTTCTGCTGCCAGACATTACGTTCCTGACTCGCGTCATATATTACTTACATCAATATAAGTAGCACGCACCACAGTGGTTCTTGACCAAAATAATTTCACAAACTTTTATGCTCCACAAAACCAAAATGGTAATGGAGGTTTATCAACAGACTGTTGTTCGTTTCTGAGCTTCGCTTGGGAGATTTAGAGGATTTGACTGTATTTAATAACCCGAAATCGGAAGGTTTCGCCTTCTTTTACACCACCGTGGTATCATGTTTGAGATTTAACAGAGGTTGACACTCGGTTGTGACCATTTGAGAAGTCGTACTAGGTTCCTGCTCAATGTGCGTTAAAATCCTAATGCGGATTTCCAAATCTTCTGAATTCTTCAATCCACAGATAACAATTAAATATTTAAATTGATCTGCTGTAATTTCATATATTTTAAATCGTTCGCATTCTCGATTTACTTTTCCAGCATATGTTAGATAATTATCAGATGGAGGTTTTGATATTTGAAAACACTGATAGCGAATGTTGAATAGTGAGGACTGTTCACGAAACGTTTGGCATAATATTTAGACTGTATTATTAAAAGATAAACCCCTATGATTTTGCGTCAGTATGAAATCAACATATTTACTAAATTCACGTGTTTCAAGTCTTTTCAGAAGTAAGCGAGCTTTAGCTGCACCATATAGATTTGAACATTCGACGCGGAATATATCTTTAAAATGATGAAACCAGGAATCGAATTTGTTACCAGATTCAGGATGATAGATGAATCCACAAATGGAATTTGCGATGCTTTCAGATTTATCTGATTGAGAAATTGAAGTTGAATAGAATGAGTGTTTGTGCGTTAGTGCATCCAAAAGCTTCATTTCATTTGGATCACTCTGCGTTTGCTGAATTTGTGGAACCGTTTTAAGGTCGTCTAAAGATATAGACATTTTGTTTTGGATCAATCAAAATAAAAAATCTCCGTCTCCACTTTTGTTACGTCCTTGATCTGTCTACCCAATAATATACAGAAGACCATTTGTATCGATCAAGACTAAGTCCTTGAACGATAGGCTAACTGGCCTAACCTTAAGGCTAGCATGCTTGAGATCTCATTGTGACTAACTACCCTGAGGTAAAGAAATGAAAACTATTTTTTCACCTGATTGATTGGCAAGCCAGTGAGCGAGAGAGAAGACGAGTCAACTGGAACACTACTCGATTTATTCCCGATTCTGATCCAGATTAGCGTAAAAAGACACATGAGTAAAAAAAATGACTAACATGACAACTCACAAACGATTAGGAAATACAACTATATCTAAAACTGGACATCAAGGTAGAAAATACAGCTTATGGTTTGCAGAATAAACTAGAAACGTAACCAAATGTTAGTGTTTTACAAGCTTCGAATTAAGTGAAACAACGTCCACAAAAATAGCTTCTGTTGTTCGTCATGGCCTCCATGCTAGCTGATCAAGAAAATGACCATTTTCTGATCCATAAAAGTAGTGTATTCGGTTCATTTCATAATATGAGACAGTCATCGAAATCCAAATTATTTTTCTATGACATGTATGGCAGTAAATAAATTCCCAAAATAAATAGTTCTGTAGTTCTTCGACATTTGATGCTGACCTCATTGGTTTAATTAGGCACATCTAGCTGAAGGCGCTTGGTCACTCATCTACATCACGATCATAAGTGGGTACATTATGCTACACATCCCTTGCTACTGTTAACCAGCTTAGACAAAACGCTTCTCGACATATAGGTAGCCTTCAAAATACAACTTCGAACTCAGTCATTTCTGACTTCTGATGTCACTGGTTTGGTGTACTTCGATTATAAATATTTTACGTGTAAAGGCGTTGTCAAATTTCAAATACCTGTGGTATCTTTACATATGTGCACAAGGAAGGGTCACATTTGCCTACTAAAAATTTGTCAAGCGATACGAGGGATTGTTCCGAAGTAATTTCTTTATCTATAGGTAGTGGTTGTGAATCCTATATATATGTTCGCCTAATGGAAGGCTTTTATGCAGGATCAAGATTATCGGTTAAGAGTACTCGCCAGTCTTTACGTATAACTTATGAGAAAGACCCTAGCTTTTGCTGTCTGGCATCCTGGAAGAAGAATTAGATTCGTCCTCTTTTGATATCTGGAGCTGCAACTTTTGTTGTGATCACTTTTGTTCATGCCGATTACTCGAAGAAAATAATCGCCAAAGATGTTTTTGATATGCGACGACGTTTATTTGAACGATCGAAACTTCCAAGTAAGTTTAACCTTGATTATTATCTCCAGCAAGTAGGTGATTTTGAGACGTTAGCTGCATATATCACTGAACATGGAGATGCACTTGAGGTGCGTCGTGAAGTGAATGGTTGTCTGGAATGCCATTTTTTTCCATAGTAGATCATCGACTATCCAATATCTTAGGTATTAATTTTACATATAAATACAACAAGGAGGAAACGTAGTTATAGGAGATAGTGGCATTAAATGCTTTCATGAAGGTAATGCCAGTAACATTTTGATTTTTAGCCAGAGAAACTTCCGAGTTGGTTAGTATTTTCTTATTCTTTTTCCGAGACTTTTGACAGGGATATCTGTGGGGTCTTCCATTAGTGACGACAGTTCCACCACAAATAATACGCAATCTGCTAACTTGGTGGAAGCGCATCATATATTTTGTCGAATACATATCATGCGCAATGTTTTTTGGCGGGTACGTTTGACGCATTAGACTAATAGCTTATTCATAGAATATCTTGTCTGAAATATTTCAACTTTTTTTCTGTCTGATATATAAGATAAACGCTGAACGGCAAGTGTATAATTACTCTAATACATACATTTGTGTTGATTCGACTTTTACTTAAATGACATGCAAGAAGATAGTTAGACGTTTTTCATTTACTTATAAAATAGCCTTGTTCACGAAAAAGAAAAGTGGAACAAAGTGTTCATACCTCGAGGAATGATGATAATGTAGAATAACACGAGCTTAGTGGAATCAACGCACAGGATAATGGAATTGTATAACCTTAGTCGTGAATGTCCAGTGTCGCGTTGTGCGCCTCACCTATTTTTAAGTGGCTACTGGCCTCATACTAAATCTCATGAAATAA